CATTATGTTACTCTGAAATTATTTTAACGAACAATGAGGTTTTTCCTGTGACTGGATAGATCATGACCCATGGGAAACAGGAATGATTTGGTTAAGCCCAGTGTGATGGCTCACTCCTATAATCTCAGCACTTGGGAGACTGAGGCAGGAGGGTTGCTGTGAATTCAAGGCCATCCTGGGCTACCTAGTGAGTTGAAGGCCAGCCTGAACTGCATAGTGAGACCCTGTCTCAAAAAACAACAAAAAAAAAATTGGTTAATGGGGAGTGGTAAAATCTTTTAACATAGTCTGTAAATGTGAGTTGGGTTTCCACAACTTATTTTCAGTGATAAAATCAAATGTGAAAGGGTTTAGGCCCAGAAACAAATACAGATTGTGAAATTATTCCTCAGCTCGCCTTACAGCTAGACACCTGTCTGTGTTTTCCAGGTAGTAGTAGCAGAGAATTTTGATGAAATAGTGAATAATGAAAATAAAGATGTGCTGATTGAATTTTATGCTCCTTGGTGTGGTCACTGTAAGAATCTAGAGCCCAAATACAAAGAACTAGGAGAGAAGGTAAGTCTTAAACCCTATTCTGAAGCTAAAAATCTGAGCTGGGCGTAGTGGCACAAGCCTGTAATCCCAGCACTTGGGAGGCTGAGGCTGGAGGATCGCTGTGAGTTCAAGACCAGCCTGGGCTACACAGTGAGTTCCAGGTCAGTCTGAACTACATAGTGAGACCCTGTCTCAAAAAACCAAAAAAAAAAAAGAAGGTAAAAATCTTGAGTTAGACATAGTAGTGCATACCTGTATCCCAGAACTTAGAAGGCTGAGGCAGGCATATCATGGGTTTGCAGCCACCTGGGTTATATAGTGAGATTTTGCATGGATAAGGGGTCTGGGGGGTATAACAGTGTAAAGACCTTGGGGTCAATCCTCAGTACACTTGTGCATACATATATACACACATAAATCTGAACAGGAAGTTCTTGTACACATTCTAAATTGATTTACTTACGCTAATTATTTGCTAAGCGCTGGTAGATTTATTTCCACTGGTACCTTCTCTTCACTGCCCTCTATAGTGTCCGTGGCCTTAGGCTATGCAGTGCCTCAGATACCCACTTTTAACTTCTTCAGTCTAGATTATAGTTAAAAGTATCTAGCAGTTTCTGAATATTGGTAAGGCTTATATGAATCTGTATGTTTCTTCATCTTAAAACACTTAGTTTTGGGGCTGGGGATGTAGCTCAGTGGCACTGTGCTTGTCTGGCAAGTGCAAAATCCTGAGTTTGATCCCCAGTACTAAAAGAATCAATCAGGCCAGGAATTTACCTCAGTGGTTCTGCCGCCTGCCTCACAAGCACAGGGACCCGGGTTCGATCCCTGGTACCAACAACAAAAAAAAAAGGAATCAATCAATTAAACAAACACTTGGCTTAGCCCTTGTATTGTCTTATTCAGGCTAGCTAAATGTGAACATGGCTATATGTAGTCTTAATGTAAACCAGTAAAGAAGGAAGCTGGAGGGTCGACAGATTGAAGTCCTGAATTGGCTAAGTGTGCCTTAGTCGCAGAAAACTTGAATTTAAAGGTCTAACCTTTGCTAGGCTGGGGGTGTAGCTCAGTGGTAGAGGTCTTGCCCAGCATGACCAGGTCCCTGGTTTAATTCCCAGCATTGCAAAACAAAGGTCTCACCTTTTTATCTTAACAGCTCAGCAAAGACCCAAATATTGTCATAGCCAAGATGGATGCCACATCCAATGATGTGCCTTCTCCATATGAAGTCAGAGGGTAAGTAGATAAAAATGCTCGTAATTAACAAAGATGTCTAGTTGACTGACAGGGGAAAATAAACTTATTATAAGCCACCAGAAAACCATTTCTTTACTAGACATGGTTTTAGGGATCTTTATATTGAAATTGAGGACAGAGCCAGGCATGGTGGTGCATGCCTGTAATCCCAGCACACTGTAGGCTGAGACAAGGGGATTGCCACAAGTTCAAGGCTAGTCTAAGACCCTGTCTCAAAAAAAAAAGAAAAAAAGAAAAAAAAATTGAGGACAGAATCACCTATCCTTTCTTGGCTATTTTTTTTTGTTTTGTTTTTGTTTTTTTTGTTTGTTTGTTTTTGCCGGTACCGGGGATTGAACTCGGGTCCTTGCGCTTGCAAGGCAGGCCACCGAACCGCTGAGCTAAATCCCCAGCCCCATTTCTTGGCTATTTTGCAATGACCCCACAGCCAAAAGTTTTGTGAGCTCTCAGATTCTAGGTTTTGTTGGAATATAATTTAGTCATTGATGGAGAGTGGAAATCATAATATAGAAAAGTAATTTCCCAGAAACAATTCTTATATGTTATAGCTACTGTGGAAGCTGGAATTAATAAACCTTTCTTTTTTTCTGTTCCCAGTTTTCCTACCATCTATTTCTCTCCAGCCAATCAGAAGCAAAGTCCAAAGAAATATGAAGTAAGTGTATTGGCCCACAAATATGCACACAAATACATACCCAGTTCTTTGAATTGGGTCTGTTTAACTGGGAATTCTTATGGTAAATATCTGTGGTTGCTAATTGCTTTTATAAAAAGCCCAGGGTTATTTAAAAAGTTAAATTTTCAAGTTGGGTTGGTGATGCATGCGGTAATGAAGTTACTGGAGAGGCTGAGGTAGAACGATCCAAGTATAAGGCCAGCCAGGGGAACTTAGGAAGGTCCTGACTCAAAAAGGGGTGAAGCATTTGCCAAGCGTGGGGAAAACATTTTCAGAGTCATCTTTTTGTTTTTAGGGTGGCCGTGAATTAAGTGATTTTATTAGCTATCTACAACGAGAAGCTACAAACCCCCCTATAATTCAAGAAGAAAAACCCAAGAAGAAAAAGAAAGCACAGGAGGATCTCTAAAGCAACAGCCAAATGTACACTTTGTAAAAGGACTCTTCTACCAGAGATGGGAAGCCACTGGGGAGGCCTGGGACCCATGCAGGATCATCACCTCAGCCGAGGGCAGGATGGATACAAGCTCAATCCTGTTACATTTTCTCAAAACTTTTTCTTAGCTGCACTGTTACCAGGACCAGTTTATGTTTGTGGTTTTGGGAAAATTATTTGTGTTGTGGGGTGGGGGGAGTTGAGTTGGGGTTTTTTTGTTTTTGTTTTGTACATTTGGAACAGTGACAATAAACAAGCCCCCTTTAAATTGTCTTTTCCATGGAATGAAAAACCAGTTCCTCTAGACTAACACTACCCAGTAGAGCCTTGTGCAGTGATGGGAATGTCAGTAATCTTCACTAGCACATGTAGCTCTGGAGCATCTGAAATATGGATAGAGAATGCCTTTTAATTTGCATTTTAAAAGCCACCTGGTCCAGCACTCTGGAAGGCTGAGGCAAGAAGACTAAGTGGGATCCCAGACAGGGCAATTTAGGGACTTATAGCAAGACCCTGTCAAAAAAAAAATGGTGCATAGTATAGGATGGCTAGGGGTGTGGTTTAGTGCAAGAGCTCTGGGGCTGACCCCCCAGTACTACCAAAACACGGAGGGGAGCCACACAGTAGCTACATACCGTCCTGTAGCTACAGCTATAGAGTCATAGGGTCTGCTTTACCTCTGAGTCTTTCTGAAATCCTCGTCCCTTTGTAGCCTTTAGAATAGGTGGGGGGGCCTTTGCTTTAGGCCTGCTCTGACCCTGTCCATCCCCTGAGGATGGCTGCTGCTTATCCTTGCCAGGCAGCTAAGCTTTCCATATATTCACACCTCCAGAGGACTGCTCTGCCCAGAAATGCCCTGCACAGGTGTGGCATCCATTTGGGCTTCCAGTTTAAGGAATTACTGATAGGTTGGGTGCAGCCCTCCCAAAGCCCAGGGAGAGAATCCCATTCCCTCTACTGGGTGTGAGTGAAACAACTGCTTTCTCCAAGTGAAGGAACAAAAAGGACTGGAATGATCCCCTTTTGTCCAAATGAACAAACATTTCCCAAATGGAAGTCCTTCCCACAATTTTCAGCCACTGGATAATTCCCAGGGTACAATCCCTAAGTTCAGAAAAGGAAAACTTTGTTCCTATTATATTCTCTAGTCATCAATTATAAGATGGACTAGAGCCAGGGATGGTGGAACACACCTTTAATCGCAGCACTCGGAGGCTAAAGCAAGAGGATTTCATGTTTGAGCATAGCCTGGTAATTTAACAAGACCCTGTCTCCAAAAAGCAAGATGTAGCTCAGTGCAAAAACTTGGGTAAAATTCACAGTACCCCTCCACACAACCCAACAGAAATCATGTCTAATGACTTTAAAAAAGTAATGTAAGCCACACATGATGGCACACACCTGTAACCCCACCACTCAGGAGGCTGAGGTAGGAATGCAAATTCAAGGCCAGCCTAGACTACTTACTGAGAATGTGTCAAAAAGGTAAAGATAGGGGCTGGGGATTTAGCTTGGTGCTGTGCCTGCCTCCTAAGCGCAAGGTCCTTAGTTCGATCCCTGGTACCAGGGGGGTGGGTGAAGATGCTGGGGCTGGGAATATGGCTCAGGTTGGACCTCTTGCCTAGCATACATGAGGCATTGCATCCCATCCTCAGTGCTATGCAAAAAAAGTATATGCCATAATTTTGAAGACATTTTTTTTCTTCCTTTTTTTTGGTACTGGAGATCGAACTCAGGTCCTTGTGAGGCAGGCGGCAGAACCACTGAGCTAAATCCCTAGTCCTGAAGACTTAATTCTTAACATCTACCTAAGGGATGAGGATCTAGTTTTTTTGAGAGCTCCAGTAGTGCATGTGTATTGCTGCTAGCGTTGAGAACTGATGGCTTGCAGGATTAAGGAAAACAAACTACAAAAGACACAAAGGCAGTTTTACTTAGCAGTTTTACTTATAAAAGAATCCACTTTGGGTACAGTAGTGGGTAACACCCAAGCCCTTCTCCACTGTATCCAGGTATGCTACAAGTTCCTTTTTTTTTCTTTTCTTGAAATAGATTCTCACTGTGTAGTCCAGGCTAGCCTTGAACTTCTCATCATCTACCTCAGCCTCCAAGTATTCGGATTATAGGCATGTGCCACCACATTTGGCTTACAAGTTACTTTTGACCTAATAAAAGCTCTCATTTTTTTTCTTTGGAGGCAACTAGGTTAAATTCACCTAGTTCTAATTTCCTCAAGGTATCTTGTCTTGGAAATGATCTCATTTCCCAGGATTTGGAAATAACTTGGCTGAACTAATGATGAAAAAGCCAAGTCTCTGCTATTGTGCCTCCTCTCCGGGACACAGCTGACGAGCCTTGGCACTGCCCACACTAGAAAATTAAAGTACAGCAACAGTAACTATCACACCTTAAGAACCTAGAGCAGGTCTCTACTTGCTACCATGGATTCAAGTGGTCAGCATAAGAACAGTTTATAGCTCCTTCGTTCCTATCTCACTGGACAGAGGGCCAAGTGATGGTGTCAGTGGCCCCAGTTCTTTCCCTCAGACTCCAGGATGAGACTTTTTATGTGTGACAATTTCTGATGCAGGTACTCACAGCGGTGCTTTTCTTCTCTGTACCCTGGGTACCGCTGCAGGAAAAAAGAAAGCGTTCATATCAAAAAGCAAATCCTTGATTTCTACCTTCTGTTTCCATACTCAGAACCTATATTACCTTTCTTAACTTTTTATATTCCTGGACTATCTTCTCTTCCAGGACCTGAAACAAAATAACTACAGTAAGTTCAACAGTGAGAAATGAGAGCAGTAACTCCCCTCTTCTTCTACCTGATGATACCCATTTCTGCTTGTCACTGAGTGCACAGGCTTCTGGGTAGTCAGCAGGGTAATGGCCAGGGAGGTCCAGCCCTACCTTGTGTTCCGGAGTTCCTGGCTGAGTTCTCTTGATCTCTGATCCCAGCTCTATGAACCTTTGGCTGGCAGCCCCAACCCGGGCATGGAGGATGCGGTACTCCGCATAATCTGCCTCGAAGTCTTGCTCATAGGCCCGCTGCTGTTCTGTACTGCGGATGGTCCTGTACTGCCTGCAGGGAGACTTGTTGCCTTCAGTTTCACTGTCCTTCCCATAAATTTATATATACAAGGCTTGATGAAACTGGAAATGCAGGGAACTCACAAGAGGTAATCCGGCACCTCTTCGGGGCTGGAGGATTCAGAACCTAAAAGGAAGCAAAACATAACGTGATTGGGGCCAGGGATTTAGCTCAGTGGTGCCACCGCCTGCCTCACAAGCGCAAGGTCCCAAGTTTGATCCCTGGTACAAAAACAGAAACTGTAAAGTGATAATAGGCCTTTTCCATAGAGGCGTTCTTAGCCTCCTCTCATTAGCTCACCTGCTTGAGTGGAAGGACTATGTACCACCCTGGGGCCTATTTCTTCATCTTTATCTTCTTGCCCCCAGTCTTCCTGTAAGTCCTGACTGGACAGCCCCTGCGGGAGAGTTGGAGCTGGAGACAGAACTCTGAGCCTCTTTTCTTCTAGTTCTTCAGTGTCTTCTGTTGCTGGACGTTTCTGTTGAAGACAGTATCTGTGTGAGATAAAATACCAGGCCAGGGGCTTCCTATTCTGTCCTCTCAAAATTTCCTGACACATACATAATCAACTCCCAGATTTAAACCTGACTGTGCCCTCTGACCTTCTCCAGATGCTTCCGGCTGGCAGAGGCAGGCAAGGCCTGGTCAGGCTCTCTATTTGGAAGATGGTGTTGCTTCCTGGGATATTTGAAAAAGGAATGGAGGATGGAGACAGGGCTGGAAGCAGGCCTCAGGTAGATTGCTCACGCAGTAGGGTGGAGATCAGTCCCACCCAGTCCCAGTACCTCACTTCCCACTCTGCTGGCTGCTCGCTCCAGGGTCCTGGGAGTGACTGTCCTTGGCTGTTTGCCAGGGCATCTGATGCCTGGCAAGGAAAGTGGCAGGAGCACTTGGCTCCCCGAACTTCAGGCTTTGCCCCATCTCACCAACTCACTGCAGCTTCTGGCCTCACCTCTTCCAGCACTGTCTGTGGCTGTGACACCAGTGCATCTCCTTCGGAATAGTCTCCCCTATTCTGCCAAGCCTCAGGGTTCCTGGCATCTTCGGTCACGTCGTGTCCCTGAACTGAGGCCGGGGCTGGGATGGAATCCATGGCTGCCCAAACAGTGAGGCGCTCCCTGAGTGGGCCCAGGCAGTGGAGGCGGTTAGCCTCAGATCTGGAAGAAAGGGTAACACCCCAGGCAGGCGGAGAGCTTTTCAACACCTCTTCACAGGCCTCCGCTTTTCCACCAGCCCTCTCCTCCCCGCTGCCTGTCCCTCACCTGTCCAGGCGCTGGCACACGAGGTCCAGCTCACCGCCAGCCCCCTCCCGGCCACACTGGGACACTACGAAGGAGAAGAGGCAGGACCAGCCGGGGCCTGCGAGCCTCAGGTACTAGGGCAGAGCAGAAGGACACCCGCAGAGTCAGCCCGACAGACCGAGGGCTCCCCTGGGGCTCGTTAGCGCCAGGTGCAGCTGGCCAGGTCCCCGGGGGGCCCAGGCGCGGCCTCCCCGACAGCCTCTCA